CCCGGGCGCGGGGAGACCCCGGGGCAGCCCGCGCTTGTGAAAAACATCCAGAAATTAGTGGTGCCTTAGGCTTCGCCTGCTCCGTGTGAGCGCAGAAAAGGTAACAAATGGGCTTTTTCCCCTCTGGAAAGAGGCACGGAGTTATCCCCGCTTTGCTCCTTAGCCTTTGGATGTTGCATTGCCTAAAATTGTATTTTCTTTCAAATGTGCCCTAGTTGCAAGGCAGCAGTGTTCCTGCCCCACGCTGGGGTAGTGACAGAAACGTTGGCACGATGCAGCCTCATCGGCTTGGGCCGGTGCAGGAGTTTGTTGCAGACTGCAGAGCTCCCTGAACCAGCTGTGACACGGTGCAAAACGCGTCCTTTTGCATTATATTTGGGTATACCTAAGCATATTTGCTCTCAGACCTGAACAGGGGTTCCTGGCAACAAAGAAATGGTACTTGCTTTGGCTTCTTGGGTTTGCAGGTGCATGTTTTGAATTCAGGGAATTGTGGCACCTGCTGTCACTGAACTACATGTTTATTGCAGTTACACACTGTGGCTGGGTAGAAGAATAAATATGAGTACCGTGGTTCTGTGAATAAAGATAGTAAAGGTACTGCCATAAATTAGACAGAGTGTTTGGAGGAGGGGGAGGTGTCTCCAGAGGACTGATTGTTAATGTCTTTAAAGTGTTTCATAGTGTTGTGTACTCTGTTGAAGTGAATGGATAAACACGATACTGAAATGACAGAAGCCAAAAAGTTGTCTGCTGTGATTGTGGCAGTGCTGGGGTAATGCTGATGTTTTTCCAAAATCTCCCAAACACAAGCAAGAGAGAAGGAAAAATCAAAACTTTGGGGGAAACAGGAAAAGAGGAAGGCATCTTAATGGAAGGAAAGAAAAAAGTCTCCTTGTTTAGAGAAATTGGGTGCTAACATAAAAAGCAATATAAGCTCTTTTTTTTTGATCTGTAGAGATTGCCTTCAATTCAAGGAGAATATCAGGGGCTCCCATATTTCAAGATCAGATTTACTGATCAAGATCTACACACCTGACATTTTATCATTTTGAGTTAATTGTCATTGTGGTGATATAGACTTAATTTGACATTTAATAAGGACGTCTATGTTTCCAACATAATAATTTGATAAATATATGAGAAAGAGTGGTGTGGTTTAAAATCTGTTTAAACAGATTAACTTGGTGTTTCAGCCAGTGTAGATGTATCAATGCAGGCACTAGATCATAAAAGATGAATTTCATGTTACTTCTGCAAAAACATTTGTTTGTTTTGTGGTTGCTATAAATGTTTGATATTCTTTCTGGATTTTGGCATAATTCTTGTACTAAAAATACTTCACGTTCTGTCTACTAAGACTTGAGATTAAGTCTTTGGCAGAAGTAACATGCAGAACTTGATTGTTGTCGTGGGTTGCCAAAGCCAATTTGTTTATTTTCCTAACTTAAGTAAGTTTTTCTTATATAAAAGTAAATTTTGCTAGTACATAAAATAATAAATATATGTGAGTGGTAGAAACAGGAATTGGTGCTTTTGCCTGGCCTAAATTGCCTTGGTTTTCAGTGCTTGAGTAATGTAACTATATTTTCTTTGAACCTCATTGTGCAGAGGTTAAGATACAGCCTTGATCAGTGGCCTAAAGAGCATGGCTTCTTTATGGTCCCTCCTGAATAGTCCCACTTGTTCAAAGAGGCAAGGTAATATCTAGAATGTGTAAGGAAGTTGCAGCATGCTTGTCTTAACTCATCTTCCTACCTGTAAAATCAGGAAAGTTCATGCCTTGCATCATAGATAGGTCAGAAGAGTAAATCGTTTCATATTTCTGAAGAACTTGGATACTACTTTCATGGAGACAATTACTGTCAAGAAGATTCATGCTCGCACGGGATTGCTTGTACATTCAGAACTTTGGTAATTCTAAGATACGTTGTATGTGTTTGTGACTGGAAAAAAAATTCTAGTTTGATGTCAGCATTCAGTGAATACAGTGCAATTAGTCTGTCAGTATTCTGTGTCTTCATAACATTGAATTGCTAAGGTCTTAATTTTAGAAAAGGTTCTCTTCTTCATGGCTATGGCTAGGTTTTCATTCTTTCACATGTGTAAGAATTCTTCTAGAATGAGATGCATCCCCTATGTTTTACCTGTAAGCATGGCCGATGAGTTTCATGAGCTTATGGAGTCAGAGCATTTTAGAACCATTACTTATTTTTTTAGCTGTAGAGTTTTTATGTTCTTGAAGTATTAGATGGATTTGCCATTTAAAGGCAAAAATATGTAGTAGTTCTTGGAGCCTTGTTAGGCAAATAAAAGACTTGCTAACACAATCAATTGTGAACTTTAAAAGCAGTTGGTTACTGAGTTGTATTAAAGCCCGTGTCATATTGAGTAATGTCTTGATGGAGATATGACCATATGTGGTATTTAAGGCAGAGTTACTAAGAAGTAGGAAGGAGACTTGCAAGCAGAGAAATTAATTGGAGATACGTACTCACTAAAATCAACAGTAACACAATTGTATGAAAAACTGCTTTAAACTTTACTTGTAATTGAAATGCAGCCTATTAAATTGAGGAGTTTATAGACTTCTTTAATTAGAGCACTTTATATGGAGTAAAATGACACAAATATGGTTTATTGTGACCTTTGCTGTAAATCATGACCTTTGCTATCATGACCTTTGCTGTAAAAAGACAGGAAAAAACTGCTATAGTTTTTCGCTGTGATTCTCAAATCAATCATTACTTTTTCTTTTTTTTTTTAATACGCAGAATGTCAGTGGCTGCTTACTGTATATTTTGCTATAGACAAATAGGAACCTCTGGTCCAGCCACAAAAACACACCTACCCTGGAATGATATCAGTAAGTATAGCTCTATATGTATTGATCTGAGGTGTTAATAAAAAGGAAAAATCTGTGTTGGTATGATGCCATGCATAATTAAATGATATTAAACATCTAAATCCCTGAATACTTTGTGATTAAAAGCTTTTATTTGCCTAAAGTGGATGTCTGCTTCTGACCTTGCTTTGCATGGTGATATGTATCATGACACCAGCAGATTATCTGGGATTAGAACATGAGATGAGGGTGCCCCCCCCCGCCAGTGCAATCTCATGAAACTATCTTAAACTCCATTTTGTGTCTGATTTTTTTTGTAACCTCTACAGCCATGAAACAACATCCATAAACCGTGAATAAAGTTTGAATAAAGTATGTTTCTGTTGTTTTTTCCTCCTTTACTGATATTAGTTCTGCAGTCTTTCCTGCATAGTCTCTGCTTTCTTTGGTGCCTTCAGAATTGTAAGAATTGTCATTCTATACAGAAGTTTATTTTTGAGCATTAAAAGATAGGATATTTCCATTTCTGCTCTACAGGAAGCATTGCATTTTTTTTTGCCTTTTCAACCTTCTCTGCCAGTTATTTCTTCAACGTGTAGCTGCCTCTTGTCTGCATGCAAAATTCTTATGGTCTCGCAAAGACAGAACCTGGTGGCAGTGGTTGTGGGGCAAATCTCCCAATTCATGCTGAGGAAAAGAAATTATTCATGATAGGTGAGATGTGTTTCGTTGGGTTTGCTGCTACTGGTAATAATAGAGTTTCTCCGTATCAAGATCCTTACATCCAGATAATCAGCTCAACTTTGTCCAGGCAAAATAGCTCAAATCTGACAGGATCATTAGACTTAAAGGGAAATTGTTGCAAGTGGCATGTGTTTATTCAGCTGTTTGCTTTATAAATTAGATTCAGTGGAATCATTTAAAACCCATATATTTTCTTAGGGATACTCTGCAGGACTTTTCAAAGAACATGCGTACTCCTGTATGTATTAATATTCATTGAAGAAATATCCACACCATGTAAGAAGAAGTTAAATCCTTGTAATCTAGAGTTCCACATGAATGCTAGTGGTACAGGCAGAGAAAGTTTACTGTTGATTCCTGCAGCTGAGCGATGAATGTAATTAATAGGTAGCAATACTCAAAAGTAGATAGCACTGGCAGGATACATGTTGTATCATCTTGCTTAGGAGAGCAGGAAATTCTAACCAAGTAATGTTTTCTCCATTTGTAAATTTAGGTAATGATTTCCTGAAAGCCAGAGAGCAATAGAAGTTGTTTAAAAAAGCTTACTCGTAATGGCTGACATTCTTACTGTCTCATAATCAAATGCTAACTGTGTTTATATTGAGGTGATGCACACAACTTTGTTTGACATGAATTTTTCATCTTTTCAAGGAAAAATTGCAAAAGTAACTGGATCGCTTATACTAGGGTAAGTTGTAACTGACAAGCATATATGTAACTTATGTATACAGTTAAAATTTCAATTCACGTATCTTTCAAAAAATGTGACAGTACTAGGAGACCTTTAGACATGGTAGGATATAGTTTTGAAGCATATTTTATGATAGTTGTTACTTCCAGTATTTTAAAGTCTTTTCTCTGCTTTGCTCAATTAAAATAATATGCAGACTATTATATATTCAGTAAAATCTGGATGATGTATACTAAAGTGATTGTTATCGTATTTTTGCTATAATATTTTTAAATTAATATTCATGTGCAGTTTTCTTTTATCTAGAGGTTTTGTATTCATTACATATGAAGTCCTGTCCTTAAAGAAGTTACTGCAAATTGATAGTCAAGCTATACATCAAGAAAAACTTAAATCCTATGTATACATACGTACAACTTCTGTAAATCCAAGTGACTATCAAGGTAAGATGCATAATTGTTTGGGTTCTAAAAATAGAGTTTTATGAGAATAGAATGTTTCTAGAAGTCACCCTTATGTAAGGAAAGTTATGTTTCATGAGATCTGTTACAAAACCAATATTCTTCACAATGTCACCAAATTTATTTTAAGCTGCTGGCTGTTTTTTTAAGATCGTTCTATACATACAGTTCTTTATGTATGAGAGAATTCTCTACATATATGTCCATATGTGTATGTGTGTGTATATTTTATATATATATATATGAAAAATAATGTGAGAGAACTGTCTTTCAGACTTCTAGTAATCTAAAAATACTCTTGTAGGGATCACATACCACGCCAGAAAAGAAATCCATAAAGCAGTGAGGAAAATTCTAGAAACAGAAGCTAAAATTTTCCGGAGACCTTTTAATGGTAGGTATTGAAGGCATGGCTTTATCTGTGATTATTATTTTTGAATAGTAAAATATAAGCCTTTTAGAAAGTAAAATAATTTTCCTTACAAACTTAACGTGTTCTTTTGTGTTTGAAACAATGGTAATATTACTTATAATTTTCTGTATTAAGATAGAATATTAGTATATTTTCTATGTGTTAAAAACATTCCTTTTCTTAACGTAAATGAAAGTGACGGTTGAGAAGAGATTTGAGGGTTGTTTGGGTTTTTTTTCCTGTTTCAAAAGAAATTTGAAGCTTAAGATACCAGGTTAATATTTCATACCAGTTTTGTGTACAAAAGGCATTTGGGAAATGAGATAGTCTCAAAATTTCATTTTAGGCAAGTATGTTATGCTCTCCACAGAACTGCCAGTATTAACTGAAAGCAGCACACTCTTTTTGTAACAGTGTGTCACTGCTTTTTAGAGTAATTTAAAATAAGAATTTCAATTCATGTAAGAAACTGTGCTCCTGAGGCATACTATCTATTCTCATTTAACTGTCTGTTTAAATGATTATAACAATATGTACCTCCACTGCCATGCTACGAAATTAATTGTTCAAGGTCAGAGCTGCAAGATTTGCTAATTGTTTCTAGCTCCTGCTGGAAGCTGGCAATTCTGATTGGTAAGTGCCAGCTAGGGGGTTTTGTGTGTAACGTATATATGAAATATCAACTTGCTGCCACTAAAATGAATCAAACCCATCCTATTAATTTAAGGATCAGCATTTTACTGATGTCATCCTGGCATTGTGTATTGTACTAATTTAATATTAAAACACTACACTTTAAATTATTGTTAACAACTAATATTCAAATATTAAAAGAAACAGATCTTTTTACTCAACAAATAGAAGTGTGACTGTTAAAATGCTCATTAATAGTAACTTTGGTTTTATTTGTTTCCTGGTAAAAGAACAATTCAGTACATTTGATGGAGAAGATCATGAATGTGCCTTATGGCTTCTCTTAAAGAGAAGTCAGTCAGAAGACAAAGAAGTCCGACTGCAGGCTGTACAAGACCTGGCAAACAATAGTCACTGGCATGGTAACGTATGCTGATGTAACCTAATTCATCCCAGAAATGCGACAAAGTCTCAGTTAGCTGTTCCAACTCTGCTGCCAACGTGAAAAAAAGCTAGTAGCTGCAAGAAGTGTAAATACATTCTGTAATTTGGTCTAAAATGTGTGCGTGGGGGTTATTTATATTTCAAGCAATTGTTCTTCCTTAATACCCTGATACAGGGTGTGTGTCTGCAGTGTGGGTCTCTGTTTCCCTGCCAGAGAATTGCAACCACTGCTGTGGTGTGGGAGAGCAGTTCATGTTCATTGGTTTCTTGGTTTTTCTGTTGGGACTGCTAACACAGTCACAAGTTCTGGCAGTGATTTTTATAAGGCTCTGTAGGAGTGAGTTTAAGGCCATGGTTAAGTTAATAAAAATTAGTTAGGAGCTGATAGGTAGTAATAGCAAGGTAGTAATGACAAACTAGAGGTAGAGGACTTGTATGTGCAAGCATTATTTGTAAGCCATTTTCCATCCTAGCTGTTATTTGGTAGTAATAAGTTCTCCCTGTTGCTCTAGCAGCAAATATCGTTGAAACCCGAAGTAAAGGGGGTGTGTGTATATGTGTGTCCTCCTCCCCCATTCATCATTTGTCCACGTGAACTAGGTGACACCCTAATCTTGACTCTCATTATTCTGGTATCCAGTCTGTTGAGGACCTTTCACTCTTCCAGTGCAATTCTGTGCCATGGGATTTATCTTGTTCCAGATTGCCTCTTTAAAATTCTAATTAATTTCCCCAAGCAATTTACATTAAAAAGCTGCGTTTGAAAATATTTGAAACCTAGGATGTACCAAAATTGAAGCTTCGTGTACTAATTTAATATAACTGTCTTGTGTTTGTAGGCGAATACTATCTGTTAGCAGGTGATCTCAGGTTCTCAGTGCACAAGAAGGCCAGTACTCGGGAATCTAGTTGCTTTTTGTTATCTCCTTTTCTCTGTAGTGCTCATTGCTGTAGTATTTGGATGTTTCACAAATAGTGATTATTCTTGCCAACTACCTCATGAGGGAAGCAGGCTTTTTTTTAACCTGCTATTCCAAAACTGAGTCCAAGAAAGGTTAAGACTGAAAGTATGTGCTGACTTTTCACAGCTAGGACCAAATTGTTCAGCACACCTGTTACTGTAAAATACAGTATTTCGCTTGTCCAAAGCACAGCTTCAGTGACTTCAATTTGCAGCTGTAAGTGATCTGCACCAAAGAAAAAATATGGCCAATCTGTGACTGTGAAAAGTATATTTTAAATGGCTTGTCAGTTTTGTTCTAGAATTGTATAACAGTAACAAGGATAGGAACAATTTTTTATAGAAAAAAGTATTGATCCACTTTAAGGTTTGTTGGTTTATTTTCCTTCAGTTTGCCACTTAATTTCAGAGCGTAATTTTCAATTTCTCCAGCTATAAAGTAGGTAGGTTTTGGAAGGGAATAGTAGTTACTGTTTAAATCTGGTTTCCCTTCAGTAGAGTAACTGAAAGTCTCTCTTGTATCTTCAGTAAGAAAGGGCTGTTTAAAACTGTACTGTGGTGCTATCCTGCCTTTTCTAAGGTCACCTGATTTTGTGACGTTAACAATTTTATTGCCTTTTGTATCATTTAACATTAGGTGTCTATGTCTTTGCAGCATTTGGATTTAAGGCTCCGGTTTTTAATGCTGTATGCAGAAAAAAGTATGCAAGATGCTTTTCAAATTTTAACTCAAGCCCAGGGTATTAAGCTTGGGTCTGTAATCCTTGTATTCCTTTCACAGTGGCAACACTGAACATTTGGTTTTGCTTGTGTTCAACTTATATCTGAGGACCTTTATCAAACTGGTCTATAATGAACAATTAGCGCCCAGGCGTATTTCAGCTCAGTATAATGCTGGTCTAACATCTGCAATTTTTATCTTTTGGAATTTGTGGTTACAAAATCAGAGCTTATTTAAGTAGATTGCAGAGGTGGTTCTTTTTTCAAGTATATTTACAAAGTAGATAAGAAACTACATTTAAAACCAAATGAAATATTTAAGGTTAGTTTTAACCCTAACACTGAAGTTCTTGTACTACAGATTATCAGTATGGTACAGTTGCCCAAACCTGTGATCAAAGGACTGCTATAGGTTTGGCTCGATCCAAAGATGTCAACCTTCGCTTTTTCCTGCCTCCACCACCATTGCCAAAAATAAAGAATGTAAGTAAATGAAAAGTAGGTATTCGATGATTTTTGCTTGGTTGTTTGTTTTTAGTGCTTTTGTTGTTGGTAACTGTACGAAAGTGGAGTTCTTCTAAAGTAACTAACAAGTAGTAAAATTAAGACCAAAATACAAAACTGTAATACAGTGATATACCCCTGGGGTATATCTGCATTAGTGAATGGCATGATGGAAAGAAATAAGAATGAGAGTGTTGATCAATTATTTTTCTTGGACTGTATGTCCACATTACATATTTATCAGTGAAGTTTGAGTCAGTTACCAGTCTGATACAGACACTGCCTGTCTGTACCTAATAGGCAATGTGAAGCAGTCTTATATTAAGTCATCCTAGATTGCCTTGTTGATACTGACAGAATCCTACACATAGGGAGCACTCCTGGAGGCCTTTGCATCCTCACTGCTAGTGTAGTGCTCTGCCGTAGGCCCACCTCTTTATTGCCAGCTTTTGTGTACCAACAAATCTGTATTGGATAGACTTGGCCCTGGTTTGTTTTTATGTTAATTTTTAAGTGTGTGTGTATATATATATATATATATGATGGTTTGAGCAGTCATGTCATCATGTCAGCTTCTTCAATAAACAGAATTGGCACACAAAGGATAATATAAGAGGTCTTTTGTAATGCTAGTAGAATGAATGCTGGCAGAAGTCCCTGTCAGAGAATACCTGTATATATTAACCAACAAAACTCTGAAAACCAGCATTGATTGGTAGTGATATTCTCAGTTTTTGCTTTCTTATCTTTGTAACATTACATGACAGTGAATCTGTACCTGTCAGTCCTGAAGAACTAGGTTATACTAGTATATGGTTGTGTATATGCTTTATTTTTACAGCAGTATGATTGCTAGGTGATTGAAGATAAGAGTTCCCAATCTGCTGCTTAGGAAGTTGAAACAAATCATTGTGTCAGCAAGTGTTGCTCTGCACATCAGATATGTCTCTATCTCTGATTGTGGCAAGGACTAGAATAACTACAAGTTCCATGACTGTGGGCAAATAAAATTACTTTGAATCTATTTTCCTGTCATCTACCCTGGATTATTAAATTAACATCTATACGAATATTTTGAAGATAAAAGATTAAAAGAAATGTCTGTATTTTTTACTACTAAATTTTATGTTCATTTTAATGGAGCAGCTCCAAAATTACTGTGTAGTTAGGGGTGAACTTTTAAGTTTCCTGTGCCGAGAGGAACTGTGGTTTTTCTTCTGCCCTTCAGACCTGTTAGAATAAAGCCACCAAAGTATGAAGTTTAGAGCTTGCTTTTCATCACTTAGTGGTTTTAGAATTATCAGTTTCCAAAGTCTTTACAGGTGTAACTATTAAACCGAAGTTGCAGTGCACTCAAGTGCAGGGTTTGTATTTTATGGCCTTATTAATATGGCAGATTCCATTATTTCAGATCTTTCTTTTCTCTGTTTTGCTTCATGCTTTGAACAGAACTAAAAGCTATTTGTGCTTATTTCTTACAGGATTGTCCCATAGAAGATGAACTTCGCTTGTTGTTAGTATCTTTACCTCAGACTGGTCTTGATCCATGTGTCCAGTACTTCACGTCTCTTGCTTTACGTGAAAGTAGTCAGACTCTGGCTGCACAAAGGGTGAGTTCCCACTTGCAGAATAGGGCTATTTGGGTTCTTTGTTCCTGCAGAGCTCAGAGATACAAACCTATTTCTGTATTTTTGAGCATTATAAGAGGAAGAGAAATACAGAGACTTTGTAACCGTACAGCATAAGTAAAATCTCTTCTACATATAGTCAGTCTGCCTGAAAGCTTGTTTATCTTTCCCAGCTGTACTAGTTGGTCTAGTGAAAGATTATATCTTTACTTACAAGCCTTCTCTTAAAGCAGATATTTCAATGTCTTGTCCAGAACATTTCCTTTCCCTTGCAGTGCTCATAAAATGATTTTTCACATTTTGTCTTACCGTTGTTTGAGTGTTCTTTTACTGCTAAGATGATTAAACCTCTGTTAAGTCTTACTAGCAAACTGGTAAGTTGTTAGCACACCTTAAATAGTAAACTCTGTCACCCGGAAATGCATCCCTATAACAGGTCACTGTTGCCAAAACCAGAATTGGAAGAGCCAAGTGATCTGTTTGTGGACTTGGAAACTAGGAGTTCTTCAACTCTGTCCAACAACTTCCTAAGTGGCTTTAGGAACATCATTTAAAGTGCTGTAATTGCTTAAAAATAATAATTGTAATGCCAGTGCCATCCACAATCTCTTGTGCATTTTATTTTTTTCTGTAAAAGTGGTGACTTTTTTAATGGGTGATTATTATTTTTTGTAAGATGCTATAATAAAAATGACTGTCATATTTTAATAATGATGCCAGTCAGGCTTTGTTTAGAGATTCAGAGTGCAATAACGCTTTATTTCCTATGACACAGTTATGTGTAATATTTTTACGCTATCACTCCTTTATTGCTTTTATAGCCAGAGCTCTTGCTACAAAGGGAGCTTTGGTAAGATACCACACATGGAGGCATTTTGATAATCATGCTGTTCTGGAAAACTGGTTTTTATTGAGGTTATGCTGGTCTTCCTACTACGTAATTGAGAGAGACTGATCTTCAGATGCTGTGCTATGTGTTTAAGACCTTTTTTCCTCCTCTTCTCATTTTTGCAGCTATGGAAATCTAGATGCAGTCCAATTCTTGCTTTTTTATGCTTAAGCAAATGATCTTAAAAGACGACATTCATTAATAAAATGAAAATCCTACATTTTCCCCCTTTATTGTATGGTTTGAAGTTAATAGACTATGGAGACTACTGTCTGAAAATCTAGTTAATATTTTCAGTTAAAAATAGTAGATATTTTTATGGTGTACTGTTGTGTAATTCGTACATTTTGAAAAGTGCATACATGCTGTGCACTCTTTATAGCAATTTCTGCAGATCATTACACACTTAATGTTTTAGTTTAGAAATACTTTATGTAGCCATTTGGAGTGTGGTATAATTTTTAACTGATTCTCATTTCAGGGAGGCTTGTGGTGTTTTGGAGGAAATGGACTTCCATATTGTGAGACGTTGAGTAAAATCCCTTCAGAGACAGTGGAACTCTTTTGCTTGCAAGCTTTAGTGCAGCATTCTAAGGTAATTTTTCCTTTAAACTATAACTGAAAAGCTACATTTATAAACATTCCTTTCTAATGCTCTCTCATATATTGGGAAGGAGTTGCCATTTCCTTGTCTCCTACCCCTCACCCCTTCTGTAAGGATATTCTGACAACTGAGACTGGTGTGAATTGGAAGGCAGCATAACAAACTCTTTTTTTCTCATGGGAATTGTATGTAAATTCTGTTATTGTTTCTAATTAGCCCATATAAGTTCCCCTGTAGTATACCTGTATGTATCTTTCAGGAAGTAAAAGGGCAGCTCTGATACAGAAAAGCAGGAGAGAATGCCTGAAGTCTGGATGCCTTTTCTGTATAGGGCTACCTCCCACTGACACCCAAAGTCATTGGAGATTGATATCATGAGGAAACACTTAGTGTTTCCATTCTACAGCTTCTCAGTAAGCGAGATACTGATGATGCGAAATTCTCAGTGCAAAGTATGCATGTATTTGTGTTGGTGTACCTCAGCTCAGAAAGCTTACAAGCAATCTCTTCTTAGAGCTCTTAATGTAACTCTAGTGCCCGGTTTCCAGAAAGCAGAGTAGCTTCATGAATTCACTATAATCAGAAGCCAGAAAGGAATGCAAACCTTGGCTATTCACAGAGGCCCTCTTTCAGGGGTCACTGCCTTTGGGCAGGATATTGCACAGCATGCAGCTAACACAGTGCATCTTCACAGGACCAGTCTGTTCTTTGCAGACACAGATGAAAAGTATGGAAGACTGTAACAGTGATTCGTCTTGTTTCTTATTGCTGCACTCTTCTGTGTGCACTTAATTGCTCAGAAGCCAAGCACACTGAGCAACAGTGTTGAGAATGCCAAATTGTTATTGGTAGTAGGGATGGATAAAGTGCACTTTGCCAGTATTCCTTTCACGTCTTCCATATACATAGAAATTCTGACTTAGTCTAGAATTTTTTATATTCCAGGTTTTCAGTTTAAACAAGTTGTGACTGTACTCATTCCGAATGTGTGTCTGTCTTTGTTGAAAGCCACAGACTTGAGGGCCATAACTACCACACATTTTTAAGCACTGTAGACAACACGTTCAAGTCGTAAGCATTTGGCCAATATCAGTAGTTGACACTACAACTAATTAGTGCGTATTCATCTGCTTGGACTAGAATCTGTTGTTGCCCTTAAGATCAATAATGATAGCAGTACTATTTGGAATGTAGAAATGCCTTTGCATTTCAAAGAGAAGGGATTATAACGATTGCATTTTAGGTGGTAAACAGGAAGACAAGTAGCTCTGGTTGAGATAGTGCTTTAAAAAATGCAGACAATTGTCCTGTTCAGACTCTTGAACTTTAGTTGAAATTTGATCACGCCAAGTGGAGAGCAATCTCATCTCCCTCAGATGCAGAGGAGAGTAGAGTGATGGTACTCAGCATCTTTGGGGTTGTCAATCCATAGAAATAATGCATTTAGCATATTAAAATATTTACTTCCTTTTCAACTATGGCATAATAAATTCTAGATTAATAAGAATTTCTGTGTAGTAAGGGCTCTGCATTATATCGGCTCCTTAAAATTCCCTGCTTTGTGAATTAACAGCATCTCAAAGAACCTTTTGCAGAACATCTACTTATTGTATTTACTGTATAATGCTAGGTTTCTTCTCACTGTGATAAAATTGAAGCTAAAGGAGGCCTTCAGCTACTACAGAGGATATACCAGCTACGTAAAGATTCAGCAAAAATACAAAGGAATATAATTCGCATTATTGGAAATATGGCTTTGGATGAACGTCTTCATTCATCCATAGTACGTGCAGGTAAGAGGAAAGCAAATACCAGCAGTCTGAATGTCAGATTTCTATTCTAAAATTTTCAGATGATTTGGTGCTTTTGTAATTGCAAAGGACCATGGTAGTGGTGTCAGTTTTATATTTGGGGGTGGGGAGGTGTTGTTGGGTTTTTTTAATACAAAAAATACAGACAGTTGGTGTTGATTAAAGACTCCTGTATGCCGTCTAGCCAATATATGTCAGTGCTACAGAGGTGTTCTAAGTCCAATGGATGGTGAAAATTTGGACTTGGTTGATGTTCAGTTCACATTAATGGCAAAAATTTTTTTACTTTCCTACTCTTACAGATCATCTACCTTGTAGATTAATTTTTTTTTTTTTTTTATTGACTGTGTTTTAGTCTCGTAAAAGAACAGACCAGCTTGCAGTCCTTACCTTTTGGAACAAAGTGAAACATGCCTTCTTGCCCTCCCTTGTTTCATGTTATGCTAGTAACTTCTGCTAAGCTTTGGTCTGATGCCTCTTTTTTAATACCCCTAAATATCACAATGAAAGTTGTGTATCAAATAAATAATTCCCAATGTTTTATTAGGAAAGAAAAATAGAAAATATCCATATGCTGTAGTATATGTCCAAGCTGCTGTCGGCCTCTTAAACACAGTGTGCATTTTTTAATCTCCCTATTGCAAAAAGGAGAAGTAGCAAAGGCACAGGGAAAGACTGTGAGAGTGATTAAAAATTTGGAATGGCTGTTGTATAAAGAACAAATAACTAGACTAAGACACTTAGTATGGAAAAAGCAACCGAAGGATTTATAAAAACCTCACTGGCGTAGAGAAGGCAGAGAGGGAATGGTCATCTGCTGTTTCTTGTAATGCAAGACCAAAGGTTCTTGTACATGAAATTATCAAGAGGCAGAACGAATAAATGTATTTTTTTTTTTCCACACAGTGCATGACCAAACTAAAACTGGCCACAAAACATTGCGATTGTTGAAGACTTATAAAGCTTCAAAAAGTGATTAGACAAATTCATGGAAAGAAAAAACTATAAAGCTCTACACACAGAAGCCAAGTTGCTTGCAGAAAACTGAGAGGGTGTAGTGGAGAATCAGCACTATATACTTGCCCTTTTATTGCTCTATGTTTTTATTGTTCCACAACTGCCATTACTGCTCGCTTTTGGAGAAAGACAGCTGGAGTACAAAGGCCATTGGTCTGAGCTCTAGCATCATCTTACATTCTTACAATAACTGCTAAAACCATATGTGTAGAGGAAGAGATTGTAACAGAAGAGTCAGCAGCTCCCAGGGGCAGAGCTGTCAGTACAAATGGAATTTTAGACAGTGAACTGGACTCCAGAGATGAGCAGTTGGATACTGCTGGTCAAGAGCTGATAAGACTTCTCTTTTGTTGCTGGATGGTGCATAAGAAGAAAGAACCTCTAAGGTTCTTTTGCTTTGCAAAAACTGCTGGCACAGGAAGAGGAAGAAAAGCAATGATGCACTGTGTAGTAGCTGTGATGGGGCATCTGGAGGCAGAAGCGTTCTGAACACTATTTTGACTATTCATCTTGGCTCATTTAAGAGAAATGCAAAACCAGAGACCTTGCTAGTTTTAATCAGACTGGCTTGGCAGTCTTTCATTGTATTTGGGGAACTGAAAATAGATTTTAGAAAGTGTTCCTCTTAAGGAGAACTTGCACAGTGGTCAACATATATTCTGGTTAGAAGTGTAATTTAAATACATAATTCTTAAAAAAAAAATTACAGTTCTCAAAGGTACCTGTATTAAAAGAAACCTCACATGTCAATTCATTCTTTTCCTCAGTCCACAGTGAACTATCTTGAATTAGCAAGTTACAGGCTATACTAGTAGCAACATATATTGTACATGATTTTGAAATAATGCTCATGCAGTAAATTGTTTCTTCTTTTTCAAATCAGCCTCCATTTGAAAATCTCTCTTCAAAGTCTTCCCAGGTTTTATTTATGAACTTGACTTTAATGTAATTGTGATTTATAGGCCACTCTTGCTAGCAGCAACAAGATTTATCAGAATTTTAAAGAAATGTGTATGTGTGTGTATGTGTGTGCATAAAAGATATTCCTTGCATTTCTCAGTAGTCTATAAACATCCCCATCCATGTCTAAGAAACTATATATTACACCCTAGGTAAGGTATTATAAAGTGTCTGTTTTTTCTTGAAGTAGCTATGACTTAAAATTTTATTGAGGATTGTATCAAAGATTTCCTTCATTAATTCTCTTGTTTCTTAGGTATAAATAGTATACTGTTTTTAGAATAGCAGGGACATTTTAATTCCTTAAATAGTTTTTCACACACTGGACTTTAAAATTAGAAATGGTTGTACTCTCACAGCAAACATCAATTTTTCCACCTGCCATTACTCCTGTGGGTTGTTTTCTATGTCTGTCTTATGCTTTAAGCTTCGTTTTCTCCCTGGGACATTTCTTTTTCTTGCATCTTACCTGCAAAAAGAGACTTCAGATCTGTTCTCTCTCTGACAACTGTACTGACCTGCTAATACACTTTCTTTTTCTCTGAGAAGGGGATCTCCTTCAGATCATAAGCTGCACAGTAGTAAAATACATTGCCTCCTTGGTGCTCTGGATTTTTGAATTTTGGAGGTTCCACTTACCTAGCATTGGCTTTCCTGTGGTAAAGAGAGTGGATTGAAATAATTTGTTTTGATGTTATCATTCTTAAGTTTTAACATATATTTCACAAGTATAGTTTGAAGGATGTTTCTGAATTCTTTTGTTTGGATGATGTTTCTAATTAGTTAACCTGCTACTTTATTTTTTCAATGTAGGTTGGGTTTCTGTACTTGCTGAAGTAATGAAATCCCCACATGTCATTCAGTCTTCTCATGCATCCAGAGCTTTGGCTAATCTAGACAGGGACACAGTGAAAGAAAAGTATCCAGATGGTGTTTATGTTTTACATCCACAATATCGTAGCAGGTAAAGCAGAAGGAGATATTGTACATGTTGTACTTTGAGTTACTTGTTATACTGTTCAGTTACAAAACTTTGTAAGAGTTGATGTCAGAGTGCTGCTGTACTGATGTCACCTGCTTCTCCTGTTCTTTGGTGAGTTGAGAGGACTGAATTTAGGCTCTCAAATAGGAGAGCAACAGAAGTGGTTGGAGCAGTCCACAACCATGAAAGGAGTATTATTGTACTACAATGGAGAAATCCAAACACAAGGCATGAGATGAATTACTGCTTTGCACGCATTGCAACCATTTAACCTTTGCACTGGCTGTCTTGGGATACAGTGCCTTGCAATTATTCTGCTGGCAGCAGTACCTGTTGGCCTAAGATGCAGTAAATATACAGCTTTAGCTTCTTTTAGTAGTGATTGTGTATCTGGACTGAAGCAGTCTCCAATGTGGTTATGTCACTTAGTAGCAACTATTCCCTGGCTCATTGGTGTTAGTCAGGTTACAGTGAAGATCTAATTTGATGATAAATCTGGAACTACTGAGCTGCATTAACAGTAGCTGGAGAGAATGGTGTTTTTCATTATAGAAAAATATGACTTGTGAGGTGGGTACTTTCCATACCTCTTTTTATATCTCTCTTTCGTGGGTGGATCCCTGTTTTTTTGTCTTGATCTGAGTAGCCTCTTTGAAACATCATGAAATGTTGTCCAGAAGATAAGAAATCACATATAGTGTTAAAAATAGCATTTTGGCATCCTTTAGGTTAAAAGTTCTGTATAAACTTAATTTGCTAAAAGAATATGTACCGTGCATCTCTTAAAAATTCCTATTTTTTTGTATCAGTCAGCCCATCAGAGCAGACATCCTTTTTGTTCATGGTCTTTTGGGGGCAGCATTTAAAACCTGGCGACAGCAAGACATTGACCGGCGTTTGGATAAAAAGGCTTCAGAAGGGGAAGAGGACTATAGCCAGTGCTGGCCAAAGGTAAAAAGACAATAACATTTTCACTTTTGGGTGCTGTTTTCTCATTAATGAGAGCTGTCCAGAGTATCTAGAACTACACTGTCCTGGCAGTTGTCTTTTTTGAATCAAATGACTTGTAATCTGCTACACAAGTAGCACTTTCCAAGTTCCTGATATATTTTTGTTAGCAAGCTGAAATTTTGAACAGATTATTCTTGCAAAGGAAAATCCCCGCTAAATTTAATGCTCGCAACATTATTCTCCTGGTAGTGAAAGAGGCAGCAATGGCTGCTTTCCTCATGCTTTTTTTTTTTTTTTAATGGAATGTTACTGCTGAGAAAAAGATACATAAAATTACCTTTTAAATTAAGTACCTTTTCTTACATAGGTGTCTGAGTACCTAAATTTCTGCAGATTGCTACTTGAATATTGTTGGTAAATAAGTAATTACTGCTTCAAGCAACTCATACTGGTGTAACCACCAAAGTATCTCTGTAAAACTTAAATCGATCAGTTCTGTTGGTGATCTTAGTAATTCTTGTTTCACCCAGGAGAGGGAGCCAGGAACGCACGAGTTAGTAATCCATCTCCATCCTTAGCCTACTTCGTGGCTGGGGAACAACCTAGAGTTTGCCAGCATGTAATAAAAGAATAATAGTCTAGGTGTAAGATGTATTTGGGGATTAACTGAAGAGCAAAAATCTTGCTTGATATTGTCCCCATAGTAACATCTTTGCTCCATTGCTGATAAATTGCTTGCAAGCGTTTAAGTACTTCAATTATAAGTTCCTTTTGGTCTTGCTTTGCTTTAATTTAGACATGGCTGGCTTCAGACTGTCCTGCCCTTAGAATCATATCTGTGGAATATGACACCCATTTGAGTGACTGGAAAGCAAAATGTCCTGTTGAGGCTCACAGGTAACAAATATAGTGTCTGCACTTAGGAGGGGGGCCAGGAGGGAGACCTCTAAAGCTGATCATTGGGATCACCTAGTTTGAAACAGAGAATTTAACTTTTCCTGTTGCATTTGAAAATTGTTCGGAAAAACAGTAGGTACAGTCATGGTATGCTTGAGGTTTTTAGCCTCATAGGTAATTATTTGTGGCAACTTTCTAAATTCTTACAGTCTGTTCTGCTTCATGTTTAGGGGAGACACTAAATTATGCTATTAGTTGATATAAATATAACATCAATTTTATATCTTAAGGGGAATGTTTCTTAAACTTAATTACCCAATAATTCTTCATAAGCACAGCAAAAAAAATCACTGGACTGTGACTTTATACTCATGATAAAATGAAGGATATAATTTTCATAGAATCATAGAATTAAGATCATTGAGTCCAACCATTAACCTAACACTGCCAAGTCCACCACTACACCATGTCCCTAAGCACCACATCTACATGTCTTCTAAATACCTCCAGGGATGGTGCCCAACCACTTCCCTGGGCAGCTTGTTCCAAAGCTTGACAACCCTTTCGGTGAAGAAATTTTTCCTAATATCTGATCTAAACCTCCCCTGGCGCAACTTGAGGCCATTTCCTCTTGCTTGTTACTTGGGAGAGGAGACCAACCCCCACCTCGCTACAACCTCTTTTCAGGTAGTTGTAGGGAGCAATAAGGTCTCCCCTCAGCCTCCTTTCCTCCAGACTAAACAACCCCAGTTACCTCAGCTTCTCCTCATAAGACTTGTGCTCCAGGCCCCTCACCAACTTGGTTGCCCTTCTCTGGACACGTTCCAGCACCTCAATGTCTTTCCTGTAGTGAGGAGCCCAAAACTGAACACAGTACTTGAGGTGCGGCCTCACCAGTGCTGAGTACAGGGCGACGATCACTTCCCTGCTCCTGCTGGCCACACTATTTCTGATACGAAGATAGTTTTATTCAAGTGCTAATTCCTGGAAAAAGATTCATATAAGTCTGATAGATAAAATACAGCAACTGTACCTGGTTTGGTCAGATAGTGTAATTGCCATCGTCAGAGGAATTGTGTTTTTACTGACCATGAAGTAGGCACATCAGAGAAAAATGCTACCTCCAAACATGTTCCTTCTAAAAATTAAAAATACTTTGAGCCTGTAAAGGTTATTTGGCTTGAACAGATTTTAGGCTTGTGTCATGGTTTAACCCCAGCCAGCAACTAAGCAGCACACAGCTGCTCACTCACTCCCCCCCACCCAGTGGGATGGGGGGACAATTGGGGAAAAAAAAAGTAAAACTCATGGGTTGAGATAAAGACAGTTTAACAGGACAGAAAGGAAGAAAATAATAATAATGATGATGATAATAGTAATAATAATAATAATAATACAATAATAATAAAAGAATTGGAATATACAAAACAAGTGATGCACAATGCAATTGCTCACCACCTGCCGACCAATGCCCAGTTAATTCCTGAGCAACAATCCCCCCCAAGGCCAATTCCCCCAGTTTATATATTGGGCATGACATCACATGGTATGGAATATTCCTTTGGCCAGTTTGGGTCAGCTGTCCTGGCTGTGTCCCCTCCCAACTTCTTGTGCCCCTCCAGCCTACTCGCTGCCTGGGCATGAGAAGCTGAAAAATACTTGACTTAGTCTAAACACTACTTAGCAACAACTAATAATATCAGTGTGTGTTATCAACCTTATTCTCATACTAAATCCAAAACAGAACACTATACCACCTACTAGGCAGAAAATTTACTCCATCCCAGCTGAAACCAGGACAGCTTAGTAATTAAGTTCAATGATCTTTAAATCGGATCCTAATTTGAGTCCTTCAAACACTTATGCAGATACTTAAGCATGTAACGAGTACTGTAGATTCAGCTTGTGTACTTCAGTGAAGGCACGTGCATGACTGCTCATAGGTTAAGAGTCTGAAAATTGATTATGTTTTGTGTAGGGGATAAGAAAAATGAGCATGTGTATAATAGACTGGGAACTTGGTACTTTTTCATTCCCTCCTCTCTATGGATACAGGAAGGATCAATGCAATTACTACATTAAAGCGTGTAAGCAGGGAAAAAATAAGGAAGACATGGCTGTTAAAATGCCTATTTGAAATTAGGCAAAACAATGACAGTAAAAAACATGTAGGTGGTTACCTCTACAAGGTCCAAAGAAGACTGGACCTTGTAGAGGGACCTTGTACCTTGTTTTGCACCCAAAGAAGAGCAACGAAGCTGGTGAAGGCTCTGGAGCACAAGTCTTATGAGGAGAAGCTGAGGTAACTGGGGTTGTTTAGTCCGGAGAAAAAGAGGCTGAGGGGAGACCTTATTGCTCCTTACAACTGCCTGAAAAAAGGTTGTAGCGAGGTGGGGGTTGGTCTCCTCTTCCAAGTAATAAGCAAGAGGAAATGGCCTCAAGTTGCGCCAGGGGAGGTTTAGATCAGATATTAGGAAAAATTTCTTCACTGAAAGGGTTGTCAAGCTTTGGAACAAGCTGCCCAGGGAAGTGGTTGGGCACCATCCCTGGTGGTATTTAGAAGATGTGTAGAGGTGGCGCTTAGGGACATGGTGTAGTGGTGGACTTGGCAGTGTTAAGTTAATGGTTGGACTTGATGATCTTAAGGGTCTTTTCCAACCTAAACAATTCTATGATTCTAAGAGAACTTTTTTCCTCTGTCCATCTGGAGTAAGTGTAATGGAAGAAAATTTGAAAAAGAACTAAACATATATTTCTTTATTTATTTTCAGATAATGTGTTTTTTGTTACAAAATGGAAAATTACATTACCTGCTATTTATGGTCACACAAGCATAGTATTTGATTATTTTATAATTTGATATAGTTAATAAAAAATGAGAGATACTGAAGGTATTTTTAACTAGCAGGAACAAAGATGTAGCATTAGAATTACAACCTTATGATTGCTCTAAGTGTATAGGCTCATTCACTGTTTCAAAAGTGAGGTTTTATGTCTCTCGGCTATCCTAAAGCCTATTGTTTGGCTGAGAGGACACATTTGGGTATCCTTTTCATATGTGTTATAAAAGCAATTTCTAGTGAGAATGCAGAGAACCAAATAGAGATGAAGTGAATTACTTTGCACAGTGGTTGCCCCAACATCCTTATGTTTTCATTATTCAAGGGTCATCTTTCTATGATTCTTGTTACACTGCAAGGAGTGACTATGTTGCACTTTCAAGCTTTGATTGGGAGTTGGCATTGGTTTTGGTTTGGTTGTACCACAGATTCATTTTCAACCTCTAATGTGTAGCTTATCCTTTCCAGACCTCAGTCTCTTAGTTTATAAAGTGGAGATTATTGTGCTTTTGTACTATTCCAGTACAAAACATTTGGAGATTATCGTCTGGAAAGTATAACAGACATTATCTGTGATTTTTTTTTTTAATGTATTGGTTGATCATGCACTTAGCTATTAAATTCCTGTACATTGCTCCACATTTTGACTGTTGTTTAGCCAAGTATGTTTTTGTCAGACATGAGGTATATTCTTGCTTCAGGGGATAAAGTTCATTATGCATTGATGATGCTGTCATAAAATGAAAACATAATTTTATTACAATGTGTAAATGAAACTATTTAAAATTCCATAAAGAGATTTGTCGAACTAAAGCTAAAGGAAATGAGTGGTGAGTGAAATTAAAATAAAACTTTCTGGCAAGATCAAGAAACTGAATTTAGCTCAATTCCTGTTGTCCTTGTGAAGCCAACCTTACAAAAGTTTCTGGCATTTTTCAGTGTAGCAACAATAATGAAGTCATTAATGTTTTATGTACCTAACTCACTTTCATAAATGTGCAGCACTGAAAATTCATTCTGTTTTAACATAGCCTTTTAACATATCATGCTCCATCATGCTTGTGTTTGTTTTTTCTTTGCAGGAAGTCTATTGCTTACAGGAGCAATGAACTTCTCGACAAGCTCAGAGCTGCTGGGATTGGAGACAGACCTCTGGTGTGGGTATCACATAGCATGGGTGGTAAGCACATTGCCTGTTTGATATAGAGTATTTATTTGTTGTTATAGTTCAGAATAAGCTGTTAACTAAATTCAGTCTGAAATGCAATTATTCAGAATAGTTTATCTAAAAAATTTGCAAAGACCTAAAAATGGAAAATAGATTTCTAATTTCTCAATGCATTACGTTCAATAGCATATACATTTTGGAAGGATTATTATTGCTGCTTGTTTTTACTGTGTTGATTTAAAACCACAAAATCAATGAGTTGAAATTCATGTAAATGGGAATCCAGAGGCAGAATTTTCTCCATGATCAGGCATATAGTAAATGTCATTATCAACACTTAAAGCAAACCAAAATTGGATTTGCATCATTCATTGACATTTTATTTTAATGCCTCCTCAGGTTTGGTTTGGGTTTTTTCAACTTAATCTAACATATTTGACAAACTAAGAACTAATCAACTGAGGCAAGAATATGGTTAGTTGTTTCATGGATAATATAGCATGATCATTATTTTCACGGTGATTTAAATCCCTGCATTAATTCAGTTTCTGTTGCCAGGTCTTCTAGTCAAAAAGATGCTGGTGGATGCTTCCAAGAATCCAGAAATGGATAAAATTGTAAACAACACCAGAGGAATCATATTTTATAGCGTACCTCACCATGGTTCCCAGCTGGCTGAATATTCTATAAATGCCAGATATCTTCTCTTTCCGTCTGTGGAGGTTAAAGAACTCAGCAAGGGTACGCTCACTTTGCTACCATTTCACAGCAGGGATCTATGCTAATCTGTTCGTGATGCTTTTTTTTATTGTGCTGTCAGAAAAAGCTGGATGTAAAAACAACAAACTCCTTTTTTATGTTTTGGGTTGTGTGTTGAATTACTGTAAGTAATTCTGAGTAACTGTTTCATTTGATTGTAGAGTCAAGGGGAAAAAAGGGAGTCAGAAAAAGTTTATAGAAGAGTAGTTTGGGCCATTTAGGAATGTAGTAACTCAACATATGCTGGACTTCAGGCTCTTATCTTCTAAACAATTCCACGCTACACAGAAACAAACAGTTGTTGCATATGATAGCAGGAAAAAGGGATTACAAACAAAATGCTACTTCTTTTAATGCAGTATTAATTTTTCCAAAACATCTCTGTAGGAATGCAGTCTTGCAAGACAAATGCTATAATCTTATGTTCACGATAACACTGCAAAAATTATGTTGCTTTTTCTCAGATTCTCCTGCCCTTAAAGAGCTGAATGACGACTTCCTGTCTTTTGCCAAAGACAAGAAATTTTCAGTGCTGAGTTTTGCAGAAACCTTACCAACACATATAGGCAGCATGATAAAACTGCATGTTGTACCTCTGGAATCAGCAAGTAAGTCAAATAACCATTTAATTTATTTAATTTATTTAATTTTGTATATGTTCATGTAAGCATCGATAATGAGGAAGGATTACAAATGCTTTGGTAGAAAGACCTAGAAAAATACATCTGTTATGTTGTGGGGTTTTTGTTTAAACTTTTGGCTGAGTTTAATCTACAGTCTCCCTGCTGAGATCAGAGGCAGCTACATTTACATCTTAGAATAGCAATTGTTTGTTTTGATTTTTTTAAATGCAAGTAACACTTCCTTATTGAAAAAAGCAGGTAGTCCCTGGTCTGATGTTACATTGTTGTAGTCCCTTCCTTTGTAATTATGAGTAACTGTTGTTTATCCTTGTATAGGTAGGCTGAATAGTGTTTCAGAAGCTCCCGCAAATTCCAGCTATTTCCTCCTTTAAAAAATAAGAAAGAAAATTAGCAAACTGCTAATGGAAGGAAAAAGTCACAAAGCTGTTTTTCAGTGTTGAGTCCTTTATCTTCCATATCTCAGGTACTCAAGAAATAGAGTTTGCCTCCTGAAAAGTTCCCTCCATCTTTTTGCCTTTTGTAGGAGAAGGGAGCACCAGCCAGTTCTTTCTCTTGCTTTGTTTACGGGTGTTCAACTTAGGGAATTGTTTTAAGTCTGATATTTTCAGGTTTTCCCTGAATAAAATGCTCTTCTGTGCTGCCAAAGGTACCTGTAAGGCCTTGAACAGAAGCCGTTACTTTGTTGGGTTTTTAGATCAGGCTTTCCACCAGCTAAATCCACTAGGTTAAATGCAAGGTTAGTTTCTCTGAAAAAGGCAGACCATATATCCCTGTTTTCCTGAGTGAATATTTAGTGGTATTTTTTCAGTATGTCTTCTCAAGAAGCAATTGTGTGGAAAATGCTGCTGACGCGATGTTATTGATGAGGACTGAAAAACTGGGCATTCATTTTTTTTGATTTAACAAAATAAAATGAAAAAGAGGGCTGGATAACAGAGTGCACAAATAAGCACTGTGCACTTATAATTTTGTAGCATACTTCTCTTTTAGAGATGACACACAATGCAGCATGTGAGCTCTCAAAAGCCTTTAGAGGATACATGATGGTTCAGTGGCATGCCACTCATTTTGTTAAAAACCCAGGCTGACAAGCAGTATGCTCACTGTTTCTTACATGCATGCTTGGGCACATGAAAGCAAACCTTCATCCTGCTCTAATGTTATTTTACATGGTTAAAGATACAGAGTTCCAAGCAAAACGGAGGATTTCTCAGGAGGTCGAGTGAATAGATAATAAACTGGAACGTGGCAGTCACAGCATCCTAACTGGAAATTTCACTGGTAGTGATAGCTGCCAGGAAAGAATAAATGCTGTAGTGTGCACCAAAATGTGTAGCTGAAAATGGATTACTTTTACTCTACAATAAAGCAATGTAAATTTTTCATTTCCCTGGAAATGTGTGTAGTGATTTGTGGCATATTTCAGGTTCATTCTAGTCCCATTTTTAATCTTCATATCAAAGTATTTTATAAGGATTATGGGCAATTAGTGGTGATGAAAACCTGGATACCCTGGATTTAAACCCTCTCCATTTTCATGTCAATGCTTAAACTTCAGTCAGGACTTTGCTGTCAGTCAGGTGCTGGTAAATGAAGTTTTGATTCTTCAAAGTTGTCTGTATGGAGAAGTGTACATTTGTGTATTTCCAGTAAAGATAGTAGAACTCTGACCTAGTGGTTTACCAGTGTCAGTTTTGTAGCAATATATAGCTCTATCTGACTATAACAGTGTGTATTGATGCTTTTAGCACATCAAAAAATAATGAAGACAAAACAGTTACACTGAAGACAGGAGAAGTTGCTTTTGAGAGATAAATTGTTAATGCAAGATGTGCTTTTCAGTCTAGGTGATCTTACAAACTTTGGTAGTTTTTTCTTCTTTCTCTTTTTTTTTTTTTTCCTTTCCCAGAGTTAGGAATTGGAGACCTTATTCCAGTGGATGTTAATCATCTAAATATTTGTAAGCCAAAGAAGAAGGATGCTTTCCTGTACCAACGTACATTGAAGTTCATTCAGGATGTTTTAGCCCAAGAAATTGGAGACTGAGTTTTTTCTTCTATTTGGTGTAACACAGTAAGTTCTTCCCCTAACATTTGTTAGGGGATCTGCAGAACTACAAAGATGCTATGTCAATAGTATCTGCTGCTAAAATAATTTTCAGTACGTCTCCAACTTAAACATCTCTCCAACTTATTTCTAAAATGTATTCAAAACAAATACAAACTGAAGTCCTATGAGCTTGACAAAAAGAAAATGTGTGTTGTCTTAAAGTGACAATGATATGTCGACAAAATGTGTGTAAATGCTCCAGCAATTTGTCTGGGAGGGGATGGGGATTCAGTGGAAGAGAAGTTTCACTTAGTCTACAGATATCCCTCTGAAGCAATACAGCTAGAACGTGGAGAGTGCCCAGGATATCTTCTTTTAGCTGGTGGGGGGGAAGCTTGCTCTGGAGGTAGGTGATCTCATTAAGATAAATATGCATCTGGGACTAAAGCCTTATAGAGAGGATCAGAAAGAATTAACTGAGGTGGGCTATTTGTTGTGTCAAAGGGGACAAGAAGCATGTGGCTGCCTCAAAGCTTTGGTTTACTGTCCGTGTTAAGTAGTATGACTGAAGCTTGAAGAAATTTATCCAAGTGAATGAAGGTAGCATTTTGGTTTAGTGGCCCAGTTACAGGAGTTTTTGTAATTCGCCTTTTCATTTAAGAGACCACCCAGATTTTTCAGCAAATATGGCATCTGTTTTCTGCATGAGAAAGACATAGGTTGGTAGGTTGTCTTGCATAGACAACTGTAGTTGTTTTAATCTGTTTGTACAAATGAAAACAAAACAAAAGAATTGTTCACCTTCTTCTACGTTTCTCTCTTAATCTTAGCAACTTGTGAGGTTGCTTTCCTTAGGACAGTGTGTATCTGGTCAGACTCAGGGCAGTTGTGTGCTTGTTCTCATGGAAGATATAGAACAGAGGCTTAGCTCTTTGCTTTACTCTTGGGATGTACCAAGATGATATGTTCAAATCCATGGCTCATGTTACTTATTTAGAAACTCTTTCTTTAGCTGATTTAAAGAGCATTGAAAATGCTCAAGTGGAGCAAGACAAATGTAGGCCCTGACAAAACAGCTGATGCTTAGAGTTTGGAGCTCATGTAGAGAAAAGTAAAGTAGGAAGAAATTCAGGTGATCATAAGGTCCCACTGGAAATGCAGAATATCCCAGATGTTTTGAGTTCTTGAAGGCCAAGTGTATATTGGTGTAGGTATAGAGAAAAACAGCAGTGTTGTCTTATTAGAGTTTATGCTTATGTTAAAGGTACCTTAACAATACTGGTGAGAAATAAGTATTTTTAGAAAAAAACCCATCAGTGCTCAGCCACGTTTTTAAAGTCTTAAATGGTTTGCAATGTAGTTAAAAGCAGCCTAGTCTAATTGTGGTCTCTTCCCTTTCTTTCTTTCCACCCCCAACCCTCTCTGAAAACAAACATAGGCTATGATTAGGCTATACTGCCCTAGCTGACCATTTGTTAAATAAGGCCTGTATTGACAACAGACTTAAGATGTCTCTTAGCATCACTTATGTGAGATGGATCTAATATCACTGGCCTTAAAATCATGGCTGTAAAGCTACCAAAGAGGTGGGATGCACTTTGCATTTCTGCAGGGGCTTGGTGCAGGTGCCAGTGGCCATTGCAGTCCTGATAGGTCCTGAGGCCACCTCAGCTGTTCCCACTTAAGAGCACTCCAGCCCAGGAGGACACTACATCTGAAAATGCACTTCCGGAAGTTGAGCCTTGACCTGCTGAAGTTGTGGAGTAAAATTCACAAAAGCAGTACAGAGAACGTACAGCATGACACTGGCAAAAAGCATTTATTTTCCCCCAACCGAGATGTAGGCAAGAACACTGCAAAGCAGTATTTCAGATAGAAAATGTAACAGAACTGTTGTAACTTCTAAAGAGGTTTATATACTGTGGTTTAAACTTCAGAGTGTAAATATATTAGAACACTTCATATTCACAAAGTAGAGGGTATGTGGAGTTCATTGTGAATAGACAAGACTTCTAATAACTGAATACGTGTTTAGTGTGACAAATCTTGTATTGATTTTAATAGACTTCTTTGGCTTACAGCGATTCAGATCAATGACGTTACACATTAATCTCAGTAAATGCATCTGTGTTTTGTTACTGGAACTGGAACTCGAGGCAACTTTCTCCTTTTTGAAGCTGTATGTATATATGTGTAACTTTTAGAACTAACATTTTGAGGTGTTGATTTTAGGGTTGTGGGGCGGGGGTTTGGAATATAGTAATGAAATGTGTTTTTAAACATGTACTAGGTATGCCACAAAATGTATTAAAGGTGAATGATCTACCAAATGAATGCTCTGGATCATGTTCGCTTTTGTTAAAAAGACCTGCATTATTTTTTAGTGATTGTCTTATGCTGGAAGAATGTAATGTTTACCCTTCATCTTCGGTAAAAGGCATAGTACTGGGGGGCACAGCCAGTCATCAGTTTGTCCAAACTGAACAGTTTTTCAGTTGAGCTTTTAGATTTTGCAAAACTGTCTCCTCAACCATGTACAGACATTGCTTTGAAGGCCAGAGGGTCTGTTGGATAGAATTCATGTCTGCTTCCCATTAGAAGCTCATGCTTTCATGCTTCCCTGGTGTCACATTAATTCAGAATAGTGCCTTTATGTAAATTCTTAGGTCTCAAACCTATGCCTTTAATCCCATCTAGCTGGGAACCCAGCTGCAGATGTGGCTAGCAGGTATGTGTGAATTGTCTGAGAAGATAGTATTTCATCTGCGTTGTGGCATCCAAGACTAAAACAGTAAGACAGGAAGGAAGCACTAATAGGAATTTGTCAATCCTCATGCACTTGTTGTCCAGCACTCTTGTATAACTGTATTGGTATTTCTAGTAGCAACAGTCATTAAGTCTTTAATTGCTGTGATTACAGTAGTGCAAACTGGCTTTCACTGTGATTTGTGCTCCATGGTGCCAGGCAGAGCAGCTACCTAGAAAGGAGGAATTTTCCATCTGGTGAAAATGTCAATTCTGGACAAAAAGGAAAAAGCAAAAATTTTGTTGTGTCAGAATAGAAATTCTAAACAATATTTTGGGTTTGGTTCTTTTTTTCTTTGGTTTTTTTTTCAGTGATCACCCACCTAAAAAAATTAACGTGGGCAGTTCCTATACCAGGGAGGACCACTTACCCACCCACACACATATGTGGCTGAACAACCAGGATGCCTGTAGCAACTTAAAGTTTCGGGACTACAGGGTCCTGGGTGTGCTCACATGGTGTTAGTCTCTTGCCAAAGTCTCTCACATTAAATAAGGACACAGCAGTTTATATACTTGCATATCTGGCTTCCCAGATATTCATATCTGGCTTCCCAGCCCAGCTTCAACACTTTAAGATTTCCAAGTGCTGGGTTTACAACATGAAAAATGTGATGGGATGGCCACTCCCTACCACCTGTTATATGGCACTCAAGACTGATTGATAGCTATCACTGAGAACCTTGGGTTCCATTGATAATGTCCCAGTGAGAATGGGCAGCAGAGCTGAGGACAGAGCCGTGCTGTGGGTTCCCTAGTTGCAGATGTCAGGTAACGATGGTTCAGGTTACTTGGCTTCTTTTCACACTGTGGTGGGGCCCAACTTAATTCTGAATGAGAAGGAAAGAACCACCACCTCCTGCAGCCTGAGTTTTGTGTAGTGGTTTCCCAAACGCAGAGCAAGTCTGGCCCTGCTTACCTCCTCCTGACCATTAAAACTAGAACCCAGGTCACAAGCACCTCCCTCTGAAAAAACACTTGGCTGGGGTGTTGGGCACCAGTGCGGAAGATAATATACTGAGACAGGAGATTCCTCATTCTTTGCTGTAACCTTTTCAGCTGGACTGTCTGTTCCTTTCCCTTGATTTGCTGCAATTGAACAGTATATGCTGTCACTGATAGTATAAACCAGCTAGCTGCAGGGATTTATACTTCAGTGGGCAGCTTGCCACATACATAGACGTAAGATATAATCCTAAAGGCCAGATACTTTTCTTATTCAAGGAGAGTAATAAAGCAGATTTTATTTGACTTGTATAAATCCACTTTAATTGGCTTTCCTGCTAACACTTTCATTAACATGTAAATTAGCTGTCCTAGAGCTGTTAATTATCTTTGCAGAAAATGTTGGATATGGTCATATAACATACTCTTTCTTTTTTACTGCTCTTAATGTTTTATACTGAAATGTGCCCATAAATGTTCACTCTTTTTTTAAGAGGAGGATGAAGAGGCTCAGGCTCTGTGTCATCTTGTAAGGAAATAACTGTCTTGCTTCGGCATTATTCCCCAGCCTGCTACCATGTTAAACTGACACTTGCGTAAGAACCTTAGCACTGGGTTTCACTGGTTTGGCCTCTGAAGGTTTTGAGGGGTTTCTTAAAATGTCTGGCAAACGAGGGAGCAGAGGAGGATGGCAGGTGCTCAGACAAAGGCAGTATCCTCTCTTACAGGATGTCTTGTGTTCAAAATTTGGCAGTGGCAGTGAAACAGGTAGGCGTTGCAAGTAAGAAAATGGCTGAATTCCCAGTTTCCAAGAAGCTGAGAACAAGCCAATTAATTTTCCTATGAAAAAACCCCAAACCTCTGAACTTTTTTTAATACATGTTTTCTGCAAAAAAAATCTGAAAATGAGGGTTTTTTTTCAGCTTCACCAACTGCTTAAAAATGCTCTCCTTCCTTTAATAATAAAAGATCTTGATGCTTCTCTTAACAAGTTACCATGACAAGTCACAATCTGTTTTGTCATTTTTAACTGCCTGCTTTGAACAAATGGCATCTATAGTGTATGATTTTACTGCACAGGCAAGGCAAAAGCCTGCGCAGCCAGAGCAGATGATAACAGACGCATTTAGCACCATGGATTATCCTCGCCAAAATCCTGGGCTTCTGAGAAGCATGACTGCTGGCTTGCTAATGAACGAGATGACTTCATAATGAACATCGAGTCTGAGCGGAGCACCAATACTTCATGAGTCTGAAGTGGTAAGTGACTTATAGACTCACCTGAAACACCTGCCTTATAGGCTCTGGTGGAATACTGGGTAAATGTACAGGAGAAGCAAAGCAGGCGCACGGGAGTACTTACCTGGAGTTCCTGCAGTGGTTCGCAGGGGGTGCTTCCCTGGTCTAGGCTGTTGTAGACTGAACCATTGAACATGATCATCTTTTAAACCTCTCTTTTGCAAGAACCTGCACTTGCCTTTCTTACTCTATGTGTTGCAACTGCCTCCTAGGTACACTCCCTGTATGGATCCACAGTGCACCTGGGCAACAGCTTTATTTAGAGCGGTGCACATGCTTCTTAAATTTGTCCTTGGTCTTAGCTGCAGTGGCCCATGTCTAGTTCCATTTCTCAGCCTC